AGCAGGTCTGGAAGAGGCGGATCATGTTTCATTGCTGGAAGCTGTGTCAGGACTGTGATGCTTTTAAATCATGTTTGACTATGTACTCTGTTTTTCAGAGCAGAATAGCTTCTCTTTATGACCTGTTAACACTAACCTGAATCATGTTTGTTCGCTTGTTTGTCTGTTAGTTCAGAGAGGGGTATTTTTTTCTGGGAAGTTAAGTAGGCAGTTTAATTATAAACTGAGTCACGCACTTCATTGATTGTTTCCCATTTTAATTGAACTGGACACAAAAGGGAAGCAGAGGTGTTAAAGAGTTCCCACTGTTTGCTGGCGTTTGAATCTGGGCTATGCCGGCAGGGAGCAATGAAATTCTGTATACATATGTGGACCATTCTGGTCCTCCACATCATCTTCCACGCACATTCACACGTACACAGTATTTGTGAGAACTGTATCCTGTTTTGTGCTTGGCTCTATGTAGGCCAGGTGCAGAGCTCACTGAACTCAACTACAGCTTAAAATGCCTGACCCTAAGTATACCAGGAGTTCTTAAAGAGTTTGCAGAAAATTTTCCATCAGATTGCCGAGGTGAGATAACACTATTGACACTACTGACAAAATTTGCATTGATTTGTTCAAGACTAGGATTTGACTTTCCCCCCCTCCCAGGTATGTTGTTACTGTTGTTTGCTGGGAAGGGCTGCCCAAGTTCAAGGACAGAGTTGTGAACCCAACCCGAAGATAGGATACCAGTGTGGAATTGTCTTCAGAGCTTGCTGTGTGAAGGATCAAGAAGGCATTGATGTGTCCATCAGCGACGATGTTCCTAAAAAGGAGCAAGGTATTTTATGTTGCAAATTGTAAAGAAGTGAGACACAAAGTGATATGGGGTACAAGGAGTGCTTGTATTTTAAATTATTTATGTTGAAATTCCTCTAACTTGAGATTTCCTTTGAGTAATTCAATTATGTATGTTTTGGAGCTCATTATTTTGGTTAGTGATAGCTGAGACTTATATCACAGGAGGCTAAAAGAGCTGGAAAGTGGTCACTCAGTTCCTAGTGTCAGAACTTAACTATAAGACATATTATTTTGATCACTAATGATCTTATCTTGGAAACTGCGTATAAGCTATTCATTTTTAGTAGCATTTTGCCCACTTTTAAATTCGTAATTAAAAAGAAAATCCACAATGGAATTTTTTAATTGGATTTAAAAGCCAGATGGCCTTTGCCAGCTTGGCAGAATTCAAATGTTGCCTTTTGTGTGAATGGCAAATGCCCACAAACTGTGGGCATTTCAAATGCCTGGACGAAGAACTGAACATTTCCGGGAAACTTGATACCTGCATTTCTGTCAACGTTATCAAAAGAGAGGGGCATCTGGGTGGCAGCAGCTGCTGACGCCCTTCTCCATACCTAGTCCACAGAGCTGAAGAGAATGAGTGTGGACATACTTACCTTTACAGACTTGGGTTTGGGGGTGTTATGCCTTTTTCACTTAGCAGACAGACCTGAAACTGCAGAAAAGTCATGGTGTGTAGTGTTGCCTCCTTCATGGGTAGTTGAGCACTGAAAACATGCAGTCTGCCTTGCAGATCACCAGTGACAGATTTTGGGAGACATCATCCTAATCAATGACTTAAACTCAAACCCAAACCCCACAAAAGCTTGCATTGGTCGGCTTGAGCCAGTGTGTTATCAGACTTGTTTCAGGTCTTTCAGACCTGGTTTATGTCAGTGTACACCCTTATCAAGTAACATTTAGAAGTGCCCTGCCAGTTTCTTTCTGTATTGCTGTCTTAGCAGGGGAATTCCCCTTGTCCATTAGCACTGGCTGAAGTGCCTGGACTGGTAGATACCTTGCACTTAGATGACTCTGCTAATAACAAGAATTTGCAGACTCAGCATACCTGCATGACATGAAAAATATATCCACATCTGAAAATCCAGAATTATGAGCACAGCATGCAGTATTTCCCCACTTAACCTTGTGGGCAAGTGGCACACGCAATAACCGTTATGCATATGGTTAGTATGGTTATTATGGCACACGTAATAACCATTATGCATTGCAAAGATCAGTCTATGTCAACAAGCAGGGCAGGACAATGTTCTCATCATTATACTAAGAAACAAGCAGGTGGCTGAACATAAGTCAAATATGCCTATCGACAATAAAAGTTGTCTGTAGAAAGGCAGAGCAAGCATCTTGAGTATACACCTTTGTCAGTCATGAGGGGGAGATCAGTCTCCATTTTGTAAGGCAGCTTCTTGGACTAGTACCTTGTGTTTCTGTAACACAATAGCAAGGCATACAAGGCATTCTGCTGCAGAGGGTAAGGCAAGCTGACTACCTGTATGATGCTTTCTTCGTCATGTAAAGAGTAAACTGTGGTCACATGCCCAGAGACCTCTACAAAATCAAACCAGACTTGAGCAAACTGATTCCATTAGCTTCACTGGGACCAAAATGTACCCCTGTCACTTGAGGGCTCAATGTACCAACCCAGCCTTGTGCCATTGCACAAAAACTTGCTTTCACATCCATGATTTATTGTTTGCTTGTGACCTCTGGTTGAATAGGCTTATGGACAATCATGGAAATGAAACTAAGCTTCCTATTCAATAACCAGAGTGTTCTGAGATTGTGTTTTTACACATCTCACTACCAATCTACCATTGCCCCTGTGTTCAAAGTAGCAGGATTGGAGGAAGTCCACTAGCTAGTCCTTTAGGCAAGCAGTGGGTTCAGGCAGTCGATATATTCAGCCCTTTTATGTCCTCTGTGTGAAAAGAAACTCTCAGGATACAGGCATGTAGCAGAAGTACCGCTGACCAAAACTCTCTGAGTTAAGGTATATGAAGTACATTTGAAAGAATGCCATAAGTCGATGCCCAAAAGTTGGGTGTGGAGTTCTTTTTGGAATGAAGTCTAAATAAATAACTGAGGTTAATCTGATTTTCATTAAAACTGTGAGTACCCCAAGCTACTATAAAGTCAGTGGAAGCCAAGCATGCCTCAACAACGTCTTAGGAAAATGAGGTTAAGCTCTGGTTAAAAGCCTAACGTTAAGAACCTGCATTTGAAAATCTCAGCCCGTATGTAATCTATGATCACAGCATGACTTTCATATTGAATCAGTCAGATGGAAAATGCCCCATGGCCATGTGCATTTGAATGTCAAATTTAAGTATGAAATAGCTGTAAAATATGTAAATAATGCTCTTTAATTTTGTCCTGGTTTATCCAAAACCCTGGTCTGAGTCCCGTCACAGCTTTTTACTGTGAGAAGAAAAGTGCTTTCTCCTCTAATGCCTGTCTCTCCTCTTTTTAGTTGAAATTTCAAAGGAGGAACTAGACCAAGAAGATCCTTATCTGCATGATGGCTGTAGAGGTAAGTCAGGTGACTAGTCCTGGTAGCCAGCTCTTTTGTGATTGCCTCCAATAAAAATGAAGCAAACTTAGATCTAGAGATTAGCCAAAACCTTTTGCCTAGGCTAGTTACGGGTAAAAATAACAGAATGAAGATCCTTTCTAAGAAATGGTAGGCCATTATGTGGTGCCTCAATAGTTCTTAAATACACGGGAGGCATTGTCTCACTCAGTGGAGTTCATCTTGCCCAACTGAAGCTTAGACTACACATTTAACTTTTTAACTTCTAGTGTTTAATATCTCAGAGGTGTTACCCATTGAACCCATGGAGTACTCTGGATTCTTCAGAACATGAGGATCCTATATTAAATACATGCATTCTTTTGTTGTCCTCTTGGGATGATCAGGGTGATTAAATATGAAATTAAACTTGTTCCCTTTTGAGATGCATCACCTGAAAAAAAGGAAGAAAAGCAACTATTGTCCTCATTAGTCAGGCCGTTCTGCCTCCTGGGAAGAATGTGTTACCAGGATATTGTTCTGCTAAGTATTCTGATTTATTGCTTGTCACATGTGATTTACACGTCTATGATCTTAAAACAGCAGTGATTTATTATTTTCTACAAGCATTTCAGAACTAAGTAATGTATTTAGGATAAAATCAATTTAATAGACTTATATTCCAGTTGAGAGATGATTTACTGGGCTGCAGATTGTATAACTATTACACTTTAGAGAGGATGGAAATGTCTGCTAGGTCATTAGCTAGTCAAAGCCAACACTGGCTCTCCTCCTTGTCTCCAGCTGCTGATTACAAGAGATGACATAGAAAAATGTGTTACATATTTTCCTAGCATTATTTCTGTATGTAATCAGTTGTCGCATTAGTCAGTTAATCAGCTGCCTGCAAGAGCTTGGTATTGGTATGACTAATTACAAATTAGAGTTTCTGTCTACAGTTTATTTTCTGATAAACTTGGCATACCAAAATTACTTGTGATTTTTCCGAACTTCACCAGGGGAAACAAATTTCCTGAGCAGTGGAACTTCCAGCAGTTTGTTTTGGAGCACCTTCATGGTATATGAGGAAATTCACTTTGTTCTTCCAACGCCTCCACAATAGGTTTTACTGTGGCTGACAGGAGCTCACAGTATTAGCCAGAGGTTCAGAAAGCGGTAGCTATCCATATCTCAACCACAAGATTATGGTTCCTTTTAATGTCATTTCCTTTGCCGGTGCTGTGTACAGGCCTAATTGTTTGTGGTGTATTGATGGCCCTGTCCTTATTAGAAATTGTTGACTTTAAAAATTATTTTAATTCACTCAAAATTTTAAGTATTATAGCTGCATTTGCCCACATTGATTGTGCTTTTCTCAAACCTTTTGTTTAATGCCTATCCCGCTGGAAGAAGACAGATTGTATTTTTACTAAGAATATTAATACTCTTACAACAAATAGTTGGAAGCATATAACCTTTTGTCTATTGTGAGAATGTTAAATGTTTTTAATATTAGTTTATTTTTAATAAGATCAAAAAAAGTAAGTTTTCTTAATGATGAGCCAAATTTTGTGTAAATTTCCTATAGTGTCCTCTCTTTCTGTCTGCCAGAATAATCCCAGCTCTCTTTCACATTCGTTGCGACTCCTGCCCACACCTCGCTAGGTCCTTAGTACCTCCGTAGTAAGTCTTGTTCCTTTAGGTTCTCCGGAGCCTTTGTCAGCCGCAATGCCCTCTTCTCCCTTTCATATTTCCTGCCTGCTCAGTAGGAAAAGAAGACATGCTATAGCTAATTCAGGAGAATAAAGCCTAGTGCAGCTAATAGTGTAAATGTTTCGTTAACTTACGGTGACCCATCTTGTCTTCTTTATTTTACAGTAATCACCATACAAAGTTTTAACTTCCCAGCCAAAACCTGAGGAGGTGTCTCAGCTCATCAACATTTTCCCTTCAACTTCTAACAATGATAGGCTACGAGCAACTCCTTAATTTACTTCCTTCTTGTATTCATTTTTAAAGCTAAAAGAATCCAGTGATTACAAACACTTCTTTCAGTGTTGAGCCCTTTCCTTCTTTTGTATATGTGTGTGTTTCATTATCTGCTTTTCTAAATAAATCAGCAAGCATCCTGTAAATTAATGGTTTGTTTCAGTTCCTGTGAATAGGCTCTTAATTATGTAAGACTTCGTAATATATCCAATTAGGTGGTGGTCCCTGCTCTCAGCAGTGCAGAGACACAGGATCCAGTTATGTCTGCTCCTGCTTTGTTGGGTACCAGCTTCAACCAGATGGTGTCAACTGTGAAGGTAAAAGAAGTAAACCCATTGCTTTGATTATCAACATCCATGTTTTAAAAGAGCAAGAATAGTTAAAAAAAGATCCAGACAGAAGAGATCAGAATATGCTTATGCCAGCTGGGGAAAGAAGTGAGATCATAAAAAGTTGATTTAGATGGAGTATTGGAATGAGAGTTGTGGGAAGATGAAGTTAAGAAAGAATAAGTAGAAGAGATGGCAGATTTAGTGGAGAAAAGGCAGATCTTGAATTTATTGTTGTGAATAAAACCCAAATAAAATACCCATTCTCTTCTGTAGTAGTAGATAATTGGTAAGACAGATGAAATAGAGTAGGATTCTTCAGTTTATTAAGGATACAACTGACAGAAAGAATGGAAGTTTTGGAAATCATGAGTGGCATGAGAATAGTCAAGGGGGAAGAATTATTAACTTTCAACCAGAAGAACTAAAGGGACAGCAAATGAAATGGGCTGGGATAGAGTTCATCACACTTCACTTCAGACATGCGCAATGAAGACATTTGCTTCTGAGCTAGTCAGCCTGGGCTCCTTTTGTTACTAACTGAGAGAAACCAGCACTTCCAGGGCACAGTTCATCTTGCCTGTTCTAAATAGCTGTTCTAGGATGAAAAGCATTACTCATCAGGAGTGCCTTTTTCTGTCATTGACTGAAAAGGGGGTCTGGGTAAGTAGCTCAGATACAAACTTCAGAATGTAAAACAGATAATGATGATTGATCTGATTAACACTAGCCTAGTGTGATATATAAAAAAGAAGGACTTTTACATTTGATACATGTGGATGCCAAATTTTCTTATGCATTCAAAGAGAAAATGAAAAAATTCACGAAAGATATGTCTATCAGTAGCTATAAAGTAGAAAGTTGCAACTTGTGGCTCAGGGAGTCCCTAAGCCATGTGTTGGTGGGAGGCAAAGCAAGGGAGGGATTTCTGAAAGTTTGCCTCATTCATATAGTCACTATGATTATCTGCTGCTGGACTAAATCAGATCGTGTTGGCCCTTTGCTCTCAGTACAACTTCATCCTCTTTCTTAAGTACTGTGAATCAGCAGTCCTGTTGTCAACAGGGTCAAAATGTCTTTATTGGCTCATGCTCTGACTACAGGGATGAGTAGGCATGTTGTGGGTGTGTGAGTGTGAGGCCAAATCCACACCATTCTTTGTACCCTGATGCTCGAAGTAATGACTGATTGGAGGTGTGCTCACAGCTAGCCTTTGACCTCATCTGTTCTCAGTGATTTCATGTTTCTTATTTAGTCTCCCTTTTTTTTTTTTTTTTGGTCATTTTGCATATTCTAGATATTAATGAGTGTATCACTGGGACACACAGCTGTGGGATTGGACAAACCTGTGTCAATACATTAGGATCCTTTCGTTGTCAGCGGGACACGAGCTGTGGAACTGGTTATGAGCTAACGGATGACAGTCGTTGCAAAGGTATGTCCTGTGCAGAGAAACTGAAATCTTCCAGACTTCAGTAGTAAAAGAATCATAGAAGTACATCATCATGTCATGCGCTTTTACATTTGGTAAATATATGTGTAAGCTGTAGTTACACAGGGAGACACAGACAGTGCTAGTTCTTCTGGGACAGTAGTTTTCCACCTATCACCTTGCAGATACCACATCAGGCTGTCCGTGGAGTACTGAAAAAGACTTCCAGGAGAGATAACTACATTTCTTTTACACTGGCAATTTGTGTTGCATGATAGGAGCTGGTCTAGGGACTGAAACAGTTGATTTTGAAAGTCCAGCACTCTCACTATACACATTTTTCTGGTGTTTACTTCTGACTAGTTCTAGTCTGGTCCTGTGAATTGGTTGCTCATTAGTGAGTGCATAAGTCCTGCTCCCAGAGCATATCTAATGGTTTAGTTTCACCTGAAACAATCAAGTTTGCACACTTCGGAGTGTGAAATGAAGTGTGAAACAAAGAGTGGCAAGTGGAGTGACCAGGTGATTCACGTTAAAAACACTCAGGTAGTTAAGTGTTTTAAAAAAAGTAAGCCTTTATCCTCAGGAGGTTTAAATTTGTTACAAAGGGATTAGTTTCTTAATCATGACGTTCTTAACGACTTAAAAATGAAAAAGTGTTAAAAGCACTGTTCTTGGCTGGCTATGTTTGAACACAAGGGTAATAGTCTAGTTTTTTTACTGTCTAGTTTTTCATTAAGAAATGACTGATTTCAACTTGCATCTAACTCAAAATGTGCTGTTCTGTGCATCCATAACTTCACCTGACATGCTACCTTTGCAGAGATATAAATTAGCAGCAAACTCCATGTGATGTGGAATTGATTTCCGCTATAAGAAAGTCTGTTCCTCCAGAACTGAGAGTTGTTTATAAACAGTCTAATTTCATTCCACTGAGTAAATTAACTCTGCCAAATTCTGGGTAAGGTTTTATTGTAGGAACTGATCAGTGATGAATAATAGATTGAATAAAAAATCTGACTAACAAACTCCAACGCAAAACTTGCAGAGCATATAGACAATGTTTTTCAAAGTATCATGGTCTAACTTTGATCCCTTTGAAGTAAAATTTCTGCTAATTTGAATGGCATCAGATTTAGGCCAACAAATAGCTTACCAGCAAGTATTAACAGTCTTTCTCTGGTGGAAAAAAAGGAATAGAGTCAGTAAATTTTGCATGCTGTTAATATTAGAAATTTCTTATCTGGATAAGATATGTTAATAATGTTAATTATCAATGTTGTGTTAATAGTGATGAAAATGGAAAATGAATAATCTTCAAGCATAATATTTAAATGACAAGTAAAATGACTGAGTTGTACAGCATGTAGAACTCTGTTGAACCCAGAACTCTGCATCAACCCATCCTAAACTTAAAACGGGCTCCACAATCATTGTTTAAGTCTCACAAAGCTCTAGGGATAAGTAATTGCATCTACTGTTCTGGCAACTGCATAAATGGGAAAGCTGAGGCATCATGTTACTAGAAAGTTTCTATATTTTAATAGCTTTAGGAGATTTCATCCCATTGCAAGGTGGCAAACATTAAACTTCGGTTGCTTTTATGTGGGTAGGCTACATTTGTGAATGAAGCCTCATTAGCCCTTGTCTGCTTTACCTGAACCATATTTTATTCACAAATATTTAGTGTCTATTTTGAGTTGGAATGGAATTGTAAAGTGAGCAGAAATCACATTGATGTGCATTTTAAAGCATAATAATGCAAAGATATTGCAAGCCTTAATATGGATGAGAATCAAGGCAAATTAATTCATTTATGAAAGAAATGAAGAATGTCTGCATTGGATCTAAGGTTAAATTTAAAATTGCACTTGGACATATAATTAAATCTTACTGACTTCAAAGCTGAGCCCATGTATAAGCACAGTGCTGAATCAAGGCTGAACACTGCTGAACGTGATGCTTCAGGCTCTCTATAATAATTTTGAATCATTTAGTTGTGAGAACTAAACTTGTAAAGCATAATAAACACCTCTCCCCCCATAATGTTAATAATGAAATGATATAAAAACCTTAACTTACTCTTCCTGGTTTTTACTGAGATTGTGTTTGACGTAGTAGGTCAGATTGATCCAGGGTTACTGCATTGAATTGCATGAAGGTACGCTGAGGATGAATCTGTCTGACGTTTTTAACTATGTCTTATGTTTTAAATGTGATGAAAAAGCTTCTGTCAAACTCCTGCTAACAATTTTTTTTTGTGATGTACCAGATATTGACGAATGTGAGACTGGTACTCATAACTGCCCCCCCGATTTTATCTGTCAGAATACTCCAGGATCTTTCCGTTGCCGACCCAAGCTACAGTGCATGAATGGGTTTATACAAGATGCGCTAGGCAACTGTATTGGTAAGACATATTCTTATCTCAGTGAACACTTAAGTGTTGCCTATGAAAGAAATTGTAGTTTCACTGGGTGAGGAGTTCATGCATGTATGCATTGTTCTGTTGTGTGCTTTTTCTACTTCTTTAAAGGCAGGCTTAGTCCGACAGGTAAGATTTACAGACAAAACCCATTTAAATAAAATACTTAAATACTAGATCACTGTTTTTAAGATTCGGTTACCTAAGGCGCTTAGCTGTATTTGAACATTTTCCTTAAGTCTTTGGATATTTTATCTGAAACAAAATTTGTAAAAAAATTGTGATGTTTTATATCCTCTATCCAAAAGGTTTTAGCTAAAGCTTGTTATAAAAAGCTGTAATTTATGACATACTCTGTAACATGCTTCGTTGATATTAGTATGCATGGTTTTACAGGTATGTAGGTCTTTCCAGACCTGTCACCTGTTAGTTATAGCCTATTGAGAATCTTACTGTGTATGAGAATGATGGGCCAGTTCTAACACACTGTGGAGAGAAGTTTTATTTTAAAGACTGATTACAATCTGTTGGACTAATGCCTTGTTTCCAAGACTACTACAAAACAGAATTATAACCTTTATATAAATATGTTAGAATTACTGGTTTCCAGCAGACTCTAAATGGAATTGTCTAATGTGACCTACAAATCTATCAGTTATTCCCTTGAACAGTATTTTCAAGTCTCAACTTAACTTTGAATTCCCCCATCAGCATGTCTTGGACTTGTGGAACTGGCTGAGCAGCAGCAGCTGCCAAGTCTAGCTCATCGTCAACCCCTCGTTCTCCTGGCCATATCATACCCTGTAGTGCCGAAATCTGACACTGGAAACACCGAGACTGAAAACAAAATTGCAGCCTTTAAAATGAAGGGGGCCAGTGCTTGTGCACAACAAACCCTTTGAAGACGTTTGTCTGCCATAGCTAGCACCAGGTCCATGGCAATTAGTTAGTAGTTAGCTTGCCTTCACTGACGTTAGTAAAGCCACATCGATTTGCAGCAGCAGTAATGTCCCCTAAAATGCATTTGCTCAAAATGGTTACCGAAACAATTTCACAGGCTGATGTTACACACTGTGAATCAAATGCAGTGTGGAGGGGAAAAAGTATGAAAACTTTCCTGTCTTTCCAGTGTCTTTGTAAGTTGAAAATTTTACACTCTAGTGAGCTGGGATAGGCCTGGCTGAAATGTTTTACATTATATACATCTCCTTCCCCATCTTTAGGCAACCAACATTTTGCAAGCTGGATTCTGTACTTAATACCTTACCATACCGACTGGAAAGCAGTAGCTCTTCAATAGTTAACGGTACCACTGTGTGAAATGATGATAATATCCCAGTGAAACATTTGGGAAAATTTTAGGCAGGAAGGTACTCACACGAAGCTGGACTTTGCTGAAGGTTATGGGATGCAAGCCCATACACTCACAAGCAGTGCTGCTCCTACAAACTGTCAGGTCTCAGTTACATTAACATTTCCAGGTAGCAAAGGCTGCCTCAGTACCTCCTGTAGCCACTGATTCCCAACTCTGAAACTGCTTTCCTCCGAACTCATAGCACATGCTAACCTTGCGTAACAGTGAGTTCCTTACCTTTTTGGCTGGATACACCACACCAGATCATACTCTAATGAAGCTTAGTCTCATCTCATTACATTTGCTGAGATTTTTATAGCAGGCAAAGGTTAACTTTGGCACAAAGTGATATGATGTCCAGTTTGTGAAAGAACAGACCTATGTTTGATGGCCTGCATAGTCTTGTGAATACATAAATAAGCTACTCACATTCTTATGTGTTTACATGGACAACTTAATCATAAGACAAGGTGAGGTATTCATGGTGAATACCTGTGAGCAGTAGTTTATGTCTCTGTAGAAATGGAGTCAGCTACCACTTAGGTGAGCACGTACTACCAATTAGCTAATTCACTGTAAGCCACAACCCACAGACTGCAGCGTAACTGGTTGAGCTAGTGAACTGAATTGTTGATCATCTTTTCATATGTTTAGGGGAGTCTTTCATAGACTTTTAAACAAAGACAGATTCTATACCAAATTTCCATTGCTTTTCGGTGGGATCTGGGCCTCTCATACCTCTCCTGATCTTCGCCATGGAAGCGTTATATAGGTGAAGCTAATGGCATGAACATTTGTATTTTCCCATGGGCAGAACTTTTCAAACTCTGAAGGATTACGTAAGGAAAGCATCTTACCTCAAGCAACTTCAGACAGCAGATAGTTACACTGACTTACTGTGCTCTTGTAGATATCAACGAATGCCTGAGCACTAACATGCCATGCCCAGCTGGACAGATATGTATTAACACTGATGGCTCATATACCTGCCAGCGAATCTCACCCAGCTGTGGCCGAGGTTATCATCTCAATGAAGATGGAACAAGATGCGTAGGTAAGTAACAGTTTGGAAGAAAAAACAGTTTGAAGAAAATAAATCACATCTATTTATGTTTACCAGTTTCTTGCACTTTGCTCAAGATTTTCTGATTCCCACAGTCAATTCTTGATCCTGTTCTTTCCCTCACAGCAGTCCCAACGAGTGAAGAATGACAGGGATCCATACTCTGTCCTTCATAAAACTCATAAAATCCTATATTCTGAGAAGAGGAGAAATGATAATTACCTCCCAAAAATCATAGAATCATAGAATCATTTTGATTGGAAAAGATCTTCAAGATCATCAGGTCCAACCATTATCGTAACACTACCAAGCCCACCACTAAACCGTGTCCCAAAGCACCACAGCTATACATCTTTTGAACACTTCCAGGGATGGTGACTCCACCACTTCCTCGGGCAGCCTGTTCCAGCACTTGACAACCCTTCTGGTGAAGCAATTTTTCCTAATGTCCAATCTAAACTTCCCCTGGCACAACTTGAGGGCATTTCCTCTTGTCTTATCACTTGTTACTTGGGAGAAGAGACTGATACCCACCTCCTTACAACCTCCTTTCAGGTAGTTGTTGAGTGATAAATTGTCCCCTCAGCCTCGTTTCTCCAGGCTAAATGACCCCAGTTAGTCCTTCTTTGGACACACTCCAGCACTTCAATGTCTTTCCTTGAATGAGGGGCCCAAAACCAAACACAGTATTCAAGGTGTGGCCTCACCAGTGCTGAGTACAGTGGGACAATCCTTTCCCTCATCCTCCTGGCCACACTTTTTCTGATACAATACAGCGTGACCACTTCCCTACTCCTGCTGGCCACGCTATTGCTGATACAGGCCAGGATGCTCTTGGCCTTCTTGGCCACCTGGGCACACTGCCCGCTCACGTTCAGCCCCCTGTCGACCAGCACCCCCAGGGCATTATTTGTGACTGTATGAGTGGAATAGTGCTGTGTGGTCTCAAATCTCCTCAATACGGAAGTATAACACAAGACCCACCTACTGTGCCACAGAAGCCATTCAAGTAATGTTGAAAGGCATATATGCCTTTGGCTGGCTTTTGACTAAGGTGGCTTTTACAAAGAAAGGTATTTTTGCATGTGTTTACAATTTTTGTAAATGGCTTATCAAAGCACTACTGACTGTTGGTCTCTGGCATCTTACACTAGCTGAAGAGCTGATCCATAAATATTGAGTGTGCATAATAAAACAATCTTGCACCTGATTTCCTCCAAAGATTGTCTGATTTCCTGATTTCTTTCCCCTCCTAAGTCCATCAGTGTTAAGAGGACACCTGAGAGATAACCTACTTCAGTAAGAATAGTGTGGATTTGTGACTCTGATCTTCTTGTAGAAGCTAAAAGCTAGATCAAAATCTTGCTTTCTGTTTCAAAACACTTTATAACTACTAGGGGACACAGAAATATGTTAATATGTTGCTCTTCTCGCAGCTTATGTGCTCAGGAGTGTGCTTTCAATCACTTCTTTTGTTCTTTTAGATGTGGATGAGTGCTCATCCTCTAACCAGCCTTGTGGAGAAGGACATGTTTGTATAAATGCCCCAGGCAATTACCGTTGTGAGTGCAAATCTGGCTATTCTTTTGATGTCATCAGCAGAACTTGTATTGGTAAGTTGTGCCTATCGACTTAAATACATGCAGCCATAGCATTTTAAAAAATGATCCTATGTAAAGAATGTTACTGCTCTCTGCATAACCTCTTTCATCTGAATGTAAAATTGACTACTATATTATTTGTATAAATCTAATATTAAAGAGCTGCTGATACTTCAAAGGAAGCTGTGTTAGTATTGTCAACATGTTACCTGTTATCCTGTTTAAAGGTAAGATTATGAGAGTGTGTGTAATTGTTTTTTGTGTTAATTTATATGCACCTACAGCAAAACATTCCTTTGGAAGATCAAAGCAACTTTCTTCTTTATAGATCTAATTCAATTATGCACTGGGGTGCTTCTAAATGAGTATTTTGAACAAGTCCTTCCCTCTCTAGTATGAAATTTAGATCTGGAAAATAAAAATCAAACTTTTATGACCACATTCTTGCCCAGACTACTACTGTAGTGAAGCCAGCCAATACATAGACCTCTCTATGTATTTATCATTGCAGATATCAATGAATGTAGACGCTATCCAGGCCGCCTTTGCGCTCACAAGTGTGAGAATACTCCTGGTTCCTATTACTGCACTTGTACCATGGGATTCAAACTTTCAACTGATGGCAGGTCATGTGAAGGTACGGCTGTCATATACTTTGGCTATATAGTGTGAGATACAGCTCATTGCTGTTTAGCTAATTCTGTTCGATTTTAGCACTGGAATGGCAGGAGAAATCAATCCAGTGTGGTTTCTTGACCACATGAATGATGTTCCGTGACATGAATGCTGTTATGATTAATGAAGGCCACTGTACCCCACAGTTCAGATATATTGCCCTTGGACTGGATCATGCAGAGGTGTATGGGTCTGCATTTACTGCATTTTGAAGGGTGGTTCAACTAGATCGGATTCAAGACCTTCAAAAACAGCCTTGCTGATATCCAGATATAAAAGTGCAAGTGTGGTCCTAAAGATTCCCTCCAAGTCACACACCTTGAAGGACAGTGGGAAATAGAATCATCGAACCAGTGGGAAATAACAGCACAGTGCAGATTGACCTATGCTGCCATACTTGGTTGAGAGTAATACAGCCAAAGCCCCCTATTTCCAGTGTACTCAGTGACATGTGTATCATCCTTTTCTAAATAAAAAAATTATCTTCCAAACTTTTGTCGCAGTCCTGTAATAGGAGTGACAGATATAGCAAGAAATTTTCGATTCAGATCTATAATTTTGCATTTCAGATTTAAATGAGTGTGAGAGCAGCCCCTGTAGTCAAGAGTGTGCCAATGTGTATGGCTCCTATCAGTGTTACTGTCGCCGTGGCTTTCAACTTAGTGACGTAGATGGGATTTCATGTGAAGGTAAGCATTATTGTTTTGTAGATAGAGGATGAGTGAGCATTTCTTATTCTCACCATAACATACATGAACAATTCCATGTACCTGTAATTGTTTCATTTTAACTTTTGATTCCCTTTGGTATTTTCCTGTGAAACTATGAAACTGTATTTAATGAAGGTCTCCTACACTTGTCCTGGTCTAGAAATATCTCTGCTTGTGTGGTGTCAGTTTTGCTGTTAACAGTGAATTGTAGTTTGCCGTACTTTTGTAACTTGCCAGAAATGTTTTTTTTTTCTGAGGAACTAACAGAATTTCTAGTCTTCAGCAAGTGAAGATACAAACACATTTATATGTTAGATATGCAATATATAATATTACTAGTTAATATTTTATATATCCTCTTCTTGTGTCTGGTTCTGAACTAATGTGTAAGTAGGTTCTCCTCAAATACAAGGAGGATGTGGGTGTGATGTTGTAGACAAGACCCTGAATTTGGAGTTAGGTCTCCAGGACTTCCTAGACATTAAGATCTTGGGCAGAACACCTCATCTCAATTTCCTTTTTGTAAGAACAAGAATAAAACTATTCCTCTCCCTCCCTTTTGTAAAGTACTACAATACACATCACTGTGAAGTGCTTGCTCTTACCCATTTACTTTGTCTCTTGGGCCCTTAATGTTGCTTTTAATTTCCTTCACACCTCCATTTATTCCTGACAGCCTTTATAGACTAGAGCCATATATCTCTGATCATCTTTTTCCTTGCCGAGGAATTAGAATCATGAAATTGTGTTTGAAGCTCGCAGCGGGAACACCGTATATGTGCACTTGGTTGAATATTATGAACACACAGTAAAATAGTGGTGTTTTCTTCTTGCAGATATTGATGAATGTGCTTTACCTACTGGAGGGCATATCTGTTCCTTTCGCTGTATTAATATTCCCGGAAGCTTTCAATGTACTTGTCCCTCCACTGGTTACAGGTTGGCACCCAATGCACGCAGCTGCCAAGGTGAGTTCAGGGAAACCTAACTGGATCGTGGACTTTTGAAAAATTCTAGCAAGTTTTTATGTTTAAAAAATTGCCTTTAAAGCAGTAAACATCAGTTTGAAATCTGAAGAAACCGGTATTTTATAATAGATAGACAGGAAATTTCTCTTAGAGAATGCAGTACGGAGTACTTCTTACAACATTATTAAAGAATTATAAAAAATTCTGAAGATTCCCACTGTGAAATGGTATGAGTTAGATTAGCCATTAAAAGGAAATAGCATGCTGTAAACATTTTAGCAAATATTTAGGTCTTGTCCACTTAGTGGCACTGCTGCTCTTTGTTTTCCTGTTCTGGGTTAGTTTTCTTCTTTTTTGTTCTCCTGCCATCCCTTTCCAATCCTGTAATAATGTTTAGTTGCACCCCATGTTCTGTAGTACCTAATACGATACTTTCATCATCTGGCACCTACAAGTAGAGGAAAGGCATGTGTTTAATCCACTCACCCTTTTCCATTTGACAGATATTGATGAGTGTGTTGCAGAAAGCCACAACTGCTCTTTCAATGAGACCTGCTTTAATATCCAGGGGGGCTTTCGCTGTCTGTCTTTGGAATGCCCAGAAAATTACCGCAAGTCAGGAGATACGTAAGTACTTTCTTTTTCAAGGTTGAACAGTTTTTTGGTTACATGATCTCCATTATGTCATGCCACTGCCAACTGAATGCATAATGGATTCTGGCAAATATGTATTTTGTTGGTAGGTCTACCCTATGTTTTGCACACGCAAGTCTGGTCCCTTTCTCATGCTCCTGTTTCAGTCTAAGAAAAAGGTATTCCCTTAAAAAGTGCCATGTGTCAGTGGTTAGCATCGTAATGATCTCTAGAGCTGTAGGGAGATGTTCTCGCTCTGGCTACCTTGCAGGCAACATGTTAAGGAGGGTTACATTCACCTTCAAAATTCTGACTTTATTTCCTTTCACATGTAGTCTTTTCTTACTATTACACTCCAGTGAAAGAGTTCTTTTTAGCTCCCTCTCTGAATTCTTACCAGTGCTGTTGCAAAGCATTGCAGGAATGTCTTATTTTTAGTACCATTTCACCTCTATTAAAAAAGCTGGGGATCCAGGGTGCTTTGTTAGCTGCTGCTCGTATTTGTGCCTCTTAACCTAGCTTAGAGAAAGCCTCTGCATTCTGGTGTTGAAAATGAGACAGCTTTGGGAGGAGGGGCAGCTGGCAGCTCAGTGATGCTGTTCAAATGGTGCTAGTAAAGTGGAGAAGTAGTTGCAAAATTTCACATAGCTAGAGTTTATGGCTGATGTAGATTACTGCTTTTCCTCCTGCCCTGTGGCTTTATGGCCACCCCCTACTCCAGCAATTCTTCCACAGGCTGCTCCATGGTCCTTCCATGTGCCCCATACCCAGGTAAGTGTATGCTCCATCAGCTAGGGATGAAAGCTGATAAATTGCATTTGTCATCAGCCTGCTATTGCTTTTCACCACTAGTGTTCATACGCCCGCCATCTTTTAGGTAAAGCTGAGTACTCTGTGCCTCCTCTGTAGAGTGAAGCTAATACTGATTTTCATTGGAGGGACTTTGTGGGGATTAGTTAGTTTCCATTTAAACCTTAATCTTTGAAATGCCATATACGTGGCACAGCATATATATTTGATCAGAGTGCTGTAGAGGGAGTTCATGGTATAAAACCAGATATTTATAAAATATGCTTGTATTCTGAGAAGTGCCAATAGTAATTAAATTTTAAATTTGTTTGTCACATCAATAAACAAGCAGTGCCTTGTGATGCAGATGTTCTCTTTATTTGTAATACTGTGGGTTTATTTGTATACTAATTCAAAAAAAGTCATTTACAAGGGGCCAGAAAGCAGAATTAGCAGATCTCTACTCTTATGGACATCTCTGAGTTGCAAAGTTGAGTTTTTGAGATGGCTATTTGAGATGTAAGGGATCTTTTGGGGAAGTAGAAGGTCTGAATTGGATTTCTGTTTCTGGGTTGTTGAGGCCTTGTAATGGCTTACTCTGCCTAACTCGAACAGGTTTATAGGGAGAGATTCTTCTGATGTGCTAGGGCTATAATTAGGCTATGAGTCAGACACAAATCCTGTGTGCTGTTCAGTGAAGTTCTAATTATTTTAATTCCTTGAGTTATTATCTTGTTGGATTTATTAGGTTTTTTCCTCTCAACAGCTACAGACACAATTACTAAATTTATTGTTGAAAATGTGTTTGCATAAACCAAAGAGAGTATGAGTTCATTATCTTTATTGCGAAAAGTCCAAGTTAGTTCAATGGGGAGACAGGTACTCTCATACTTCACCAGTATATGAGTATTGCACCAACATGCCAGAGTCGGGGTTTATGTATTGGGTTACCTTGTGCTCATTGGGAACAGTTTGGTAAGACAGCTCTTTAGCAGCCTTTTCACATCCAAACTAATTTACATATTCTTGAATCATTTATTTTTGGCATATATAACCCAACACAGCTGATAGCTAGCATATCTTCATTAGCTTTTGCATGATAATGACATTAAATCACTTTTTCACCCAGCCTTGTGCCAGGACTCTGAAATCAAAATAAGTGGCTTCTCGTATTATTACAGGTACCATTTTCCTCTCCTTTTTATTCAAAAGACATTCCAGTTTCACCAATGTGGTGCGTCATATAAAAGACAACACACTTTCCATTCCCATCAAGGTGGCACCTCATGGGATTTTTTTACCCTATTCTGCAGTATTTTCTTTGGAACAGCTATAATTTAATAGGCCTCAGTCCTGCAAATCCAAGTTTGTTCATTCTTATTTTTCCTTAAAATCCTTATGCATGGGCAAGAGCCCTTAGTGATCCAGAAGCTTCCTTAACCAATACCTTTAAAGCAGAAATCTTTGCATGGTGGCTGTTGCTGTGGTGATTGGCATCAGGTGAAGTAATTGGAGGATCATCCTGTGCTATGGGCTGAAAACTCAGGATGCTGTATAGGTACTCTGAGCTTCAGGAGGAAACAGCCTGTGTAACCTTCCCCAAAGACCAGCAAAGTGCCTGGCGTGGTCCAATCCTTAATGGTAAAAATCATATTGAAGGTTTTATCTCTTTTGCTTAAATTTTGCCTTTTTTTTTTTTTCCCCCTTGATCAGCCTATAGGCTTGGTATTTTTCCAAGGATAATTAAGATCTACTGCTATTTACAATAGGACTTAACTTGCTGTACTGCCTTGCCAAAACACTTTTTGTTTTCAAATTGCATAACAAATTCTCTTTATGCGACACTGAAGTCTAACATTTGTAATATTTAAGCCAAGAAAAACAGTAGGAAAGATAAAGAAGCGGTCATGGCGGAGTGTCAGAAATGTGTGATGCATTCAGCCAGATTGGGAAATATTTTTATATTCTAGACGTGTCTGCGTATTATTAAGTTTGCCTGTCGCTTGCCATTATTAGGACCTGTTTTTTAACTGCTTAGAATTTTGCCAAAACGTAACCAACGGCTGAAATTTTACATGCCAGGTGTCTGACTCAGGCTCAAGTTTTGGCAAATTTCAGCCAAAGTGTTCGCTCCTTTCCAAGAACAAGGGTGGGGAGGAACACACTGTTTTATATGTTTAAGACATTTTGGTGATTTTTTTTTTTTTCTTTGAACAGTTTGCTGTCATGTTTTGGAGCAGAAATCTGAAATTTGTTAGGAGATGACTTTTTCACTGTTCGTCATCTTTACCATAAACCTCTGAAACTTCTGAAATTATGAACTGTGTAAAATTGCATTTAGCCTTTTTTCATAAAACTTGGGAAATTAGGACTTCGATGGGTAATCTTAATCCACACCTGTATGCCAAAACAGTCAGGTCTACCTGGAGTATTTCTGAGAGTTGTTTAACTTTTGCTTCAAGTCCTTGAATTTTAAGGATTTCATAGCTTCAGTGGTAATCTGTCTTTGTGTTTGACTATCTTCCTCACTGCAATTTAATTCTTCCTAGCAGTAGAGAGGTCTTTCTCTTTTAGCACCAAACAATTCTCTTCTGATTGAGCAGACCTGAGCTTCTTACAGCTCTTTAAAGAAGTCTAAAATGTGCAGGTACCAACTCCACAGACTGTCTGAGCCTGCTCGCACACATAGTCACAGGAAAAAAGCCCAATCTTCCCCACCATGTCAACTCCTGTCTGCCCTGACAACCCCAGAGCCCATTCCTTCTGTGCTAGCCAAAAGCCCCAGACTCCATGGATGAGCTGTTTCCAGCACGGGTGAGGGGAGAGATGGCTCTGTAAGAAGGAAGGGCTTACTTAGGGGTAAGGAGGCTGAATGGAGGGAGGGAGGGAGGGATCTGAAGGTATGACCAGGTGAGGAGAATGAATCTGGGAGACACTTGAGGGATAGAAGGTAAAACTGCGTAAAACAATTTAGAGATAAGGGGGAAACCAAGCACAGGAGTCAGGTGATTGATGCCAGATTTGGATGAAGACATCAGAGCAAGGAATAATTTTGGATAGCTGCCCAAAGATACTGAGGAAACGGGTGCATGCTTTGGGACTAGGGCTGTGAGGTAGAAACTGAGAGAACCAAGTGTCAGCTGGGAGAGGATGGAGCAAGAAGAGGAGGATTGGCACTGGCTGAGTAGACTGATGGCAAATCTTTGAGTGAGCAGGGAGGGCAGTAGGCAAGGAAAGGGGCTAGGAAGAAAGAGCCAGGTTGGGAAAGGCAGATGAAGGAGGCAAGGATAGGACATAAAGGCTCAGTGCTGAGGGCAAAATGAAGATGGGTCTGAATCTTCTATAGCTTGAAAGCTCCTTGAGACTTCCAGCTCCAGAGAGGAGGAACATGCAGAGTATTTGTCCATCCTGTCTGCTGTATGGCTGTATCACCATATTCCCATGGGAGCCTGAAGCAGGACTCCAGATTCTCCTCTGGTTAAGAAATATCTGTGAAAACCAACCATCAGTTGATTTCACTCCCTTTAAGTTGTGG